TGAAATGTAGTATGCACATACTGAAGATAGTGGTTATGATGATGTGCCACTCATGGCCAACACTCAGTCGAACACTGAGCAAACTAACATGTGGTACCTGGATTCAGGATGCAGTAACCACATTAATTGATAAACTTAGGTCACACTTATTTTCCCTTGGGTAAAATTTCCCAGGGTTTCATGTAAACCAATTACTTATTTTATAAGAGAGTCAAACCGCTTACATTTCTATTTAGAATTTCTAAGCTTAGTTGTTTTTATTTTGAAAGAGTTATTTATTTCCTTAAGATATCTTAGTAATCCTTAAAACCTATGGGAAATTCTCTCAGTTAATCATTTTCTTCCACTAACTAACCACTCATTTTAAATAGTGAGCATAAGATGGTTTGAAAACTAGAATGGTATCTTCTGCGTATGATGCCTTTAAGTATATTTCATCTTCTTCGTGGGAAGAAGACTCTTTCATATTTCTTCCCGAGGTTAATGTATGTCCTTCTCTTCTTCATTCGAGTACTGAAGAAACTTCTTCATCTTCTTTTTCATTTCATGAACAAGAGGGTCCTTCATTTGGAGTTGAATCTTCTGAGGATCGTTTAACTACTAAATATGTTATTTTAAAGGACTGTGTAAGAGTTGTATGATAGGAGTATGACGAGGATTAAGATTCTTCAGTTTGAATCCCTTCATTTTTGAGTAATTGAACTAGTTTGTTCAACTTCTCTACAATTTCCTTCTTCTTTGATTTTTTTTCTTCTGAAATTCATGAAGGCTCTCATCTTTTGACTTAAGAAATGGATTAAGCTTCCTATTATTAATTCTTAGATATTTGTTAGTGATACAATTTCCAACATAGTTTCCAATATTTCCAAATTTATAAAAACATCTATGATACACACACACACGCACGCGCGCGCACACACACACACACACACACACACACACACACACACACACACACACACACACACACACACACACACACACTTCACCTTGTGTGTTTATCTTCTCTTGCTTAATACTTTGAGAAAATCCATATATCATTTCAAGAGTATCCCACATTTTCTTGGCGATATTGTAATGAAGAACATTTTAAAATGTGCTATCATCTAGAGACATTCTTATAAGGCTCTTGGTTTTAAAATTTATTTCAAACTTTATCTTTTCCTCTACGGTCGAAAATGAATCAATCTTATTTACTACTTCATCATTTACTTGATGAGTAGGGATAAACAGACCACTGACTATTGTTTCCCACAATTCATGATTTAAACTTTGAAAAAAAATTCTAAACCTACCTTTTCAAATATCAAATTTACTATCATTGAAATATGGTGGCGTGTTTAGAAAAGATCTCTTGTTGAAAGTCATCTTTCTCCTGAGATGATTAGTCCTTAAATAGAAGTTAGACTATGATGCCACTTGTTGGACTTGAGACTTCACACACAAGCGTGGGTTAATTTTGTGATTCGGAAATAACTGTTAGACAAAGACACAGATCTAGAAGGGGGTTGAATAGTTCACTTATTAAAAACAGAGTCGGCGCTTACCAATATTTGGTTTTTAAAATTTTCAAGCGGAAGCGGCCAAGGAACTATATTCGTCTAAACGTACCTTTATCAAAAAGATCGGATATACGCAAAGCCTATGGAATCCGATAAAGACGATATTTAGAATCACTAATTTGAACACACATCAACTAGATTTTATTCAGTTTAAGGTTGGACAGTTTCCAATGCGTGTAAAATATAACCCAGTTGAAAAGACAACACAAGTGTTTGTGTTCACGCAATTAGTCGAACACTTGGTGTGCAAGGCACCACAAGTGAATTTCAATATGTAAGTGAAGTGCTATAGTATTCAATTACAATCAAGGATTGTAATAAGGTATCTAAAAATGGTTCAGCACTACACACACCAGAATTTTAGTCAACTAAATTGTTTGCACACAAACTCAAAAATTCAGCAATGGAAAAAGTAAAGAGAGAACACCAATTTGTTGAGGCAGTTCCCCCGTCGCCCTCACTCGGGGTATGTCTGCCCTTAATTTTAAAAATAGAATTGAGACTTGTATATATATAACCTGTTTGCAAATGTTTACAAGAGAAGCAATAGAATTCAAACAATCAAACCCAATTGTTGATGTAGAGCCTATTCCTTCTCTTCCCTTGATTCAAGTTGAATCAAGTCCTTCGAACGTGATGAGTAAACCTCCAATTACGGCACTCCCTTTGAACAATCCTCTGGTCTTCAAATCTTGCCCGAATGATTTCAAACACCAACAATTCGAACCTAAATCTTCCTATCACAATCCTCTGGTTACCGCGACTAAACTGACAGAACCTCCCATTCTTCAATTACCTTCGCTCGGCTGAATCTGTGATGAACCGCTTTGTGCAAAAAACCCCAAAATCCAATATTCTTGGAGGACAAAACCCTAATGGTTTTATTCAAGAAAAACCCACTGATTTCTCAACTCAAACCTGATTACACCAATCCTATGTTTGGACGTTATCACCTCAATAATGCAGAATACGCAACAAAAATGGTTATGTGTAGTTGTTGAGAAAATGCAAGAAAGAGGATGAAGATGATGAGAACCAAATCAATGTATATTTTCACTTTTCTTGTGGTTGGTTGAAGAATGAGCTGACTTAATATATATGCAAGTGTGAAAACAATTAACCAACTTAACAAACACTATGACAGTTTCACATAACAAAATTTTGGTGAAAAATGCGCGAGCGGTCGACCTACAGAAAGGGGGGAGGGTCGACCTGAGCTCTCCCGATTTCAAACTATGCAGAAAATAACACTTTGCGTCGACCAGAACAGGTCATGTGTCAATGCAAAGGACACAAATTTAGACAAACAGAAATGTACACAGTATGAGTCGACCGGAGGGTCGACGCGAGCACTCCTGAGAGCAATATATGAAAAATGACTTCTGTATGAGTCAACCTGAACAATCTATGAGTCGACTCAAAGACTCAAAATATGCAAAAATCCATTTTCATGTATTGAGCTACTTTTAAGATACTCTAACATATCGCAAACTAGACCAACATGATCAAACCTATATGGAACACATATTGTACTTTTTCTATATGTACCTAAACATGTTTTTGACCAATGTTTGACGCAAGAGAAATAAGGTATGCATATGCGACATGATGATACCGTCCAAAGTATATTTTTCTACCTATGTATGTTTTGACATCATTAAAACTAGTATAGCTAAGTATGAGGAACTTTTCCCTCACAATAACTTGGTTATGAAAAATATTGCGGAATAAAACCAGAGTTTAAAAATATTTTTAAATACTAATAACGATGATAATATGAGTTGCAGCTTCTGGAAGGCGTCCTAAAATAGGAAACTAGCAGAGCTGCCAAGAACTATCTGGACGCGCTTGATGTACCAGTTCCCTTGTTGCACAGTGATGACTAGAGGATCATCATTGTAAGGGTTGAGTCTGAGGGCGTTCTCCTCGGAGAAGATGATATTAACCTCTGTTTAACCTTAAGAGTCTCCGGGGAAGCAAGAGGATAATACGTAAGCCGCAAATACTTTCCTTGTGTACTTCATCTAGAAATATCTAGAGTTACCTCCACCGGCGAAGCTTCTGGCGATGGTGTTTACGTTGTAGGTTGTGGTTTTGTCAGTCACGTTCGCAGGAGAATGGAGAGAGTTAGAGTAAAAGTTTGGTTCAAGTTAGTTTTACTGGGGCTACACGATGGACGCCATCGTACTGGTAAAAAAATACAGGTTTGCATGTTCCCCCTATAAGGGCAGGGAGACTCAAAGGTCTTAGTAGGTTTATAACACGTTTTGGTGGTGAGGGCATGCCCACAGAGATGATAAATCTTGTGCGCCGATGTTTTGTGGTGATTTAGAAGACCTTCTAACATTAGGTGAGAGACCCTACTGGTGATGCCTGGTAGCAAGCGTACAATCACAGGTAGTCATGTGTTAAGGCAGTAGTGAGCGTTGTGCGCTTTAGAGTGTTGAGGATGTGTATTACTCGAGGTCTGACTTTTCTCCTTAAGGGAGATGTATTTATAAAGGTCTCTAGAACCTAAGATTTCCTCAAAAAAGGCCACCGTCCACTTAATCAATAGTGGAAAGTTGAATCCCTATTTTCAAGGGAGTCGTGGGTCAGTTAATGACCTTGACTTTTTCTCTGCTCCAGAAACGTCTTATCCCACGTTTCTCACGTAGGGGCAAGGGAAAACTACTGAGTGAAGCGATACCTCCCTTCGGGCAACCTTTCATCATCGCCTATTCTAGAAAGGGCTAAGGGCTAAGGCGATGCCTTTTGCAAATATACCACTACAACTTCCCACTTGAGAGTCAGGGAATTAGGAATGACCTTGGTATATAATACTTCCCACCATATATATTCTAGTAAGGTGTTGAGTGCAATGTAGTTTTCTATGGGCTTTTTGATTGGTTTGAAGATTGTCCTACTCATATAGGTTGTGGGAAGTGGTTATCACGTAGAAAGGAGAATTAAGATCCCTCATTATTACGCTCCTTCGAATTCCTATTCTTCTCAGCGTTACTTTCCATGTCCTTTATATAACATTCGTTCCTCGCCATAATCTCTTCTACGAAGTCTGCGAGCTTTTGAGAAAGAGATTTGTTAAAATGCCCAACTTTGAATCTATTTTAGAAGGCTCCCACAAACATCTCTTTGTTAGAGTTGATTACCTTGATGGCGGCCTCATTGATTCTCCCCAAGTAACAAGTTCTCCTGCAAGTTGGTCGTGGACACCCACCTTCCGATGCTTGCTCGCTCGAGAATTGACATCCTTAACCGGATATACAGTTGCTTACACAACCTGACGAGGTTTCAAATAAAGGAGCACGTAGGAATGTATACAATCACACACAAGGATATATTATATAAAGCAAAATTCAAAATCACCTGAGTTCTTACATATATTGCTATGACAACAAACAACCAAATGAAGTAATACAGACTAAACAGTATATAGTATCATACAATAATGAATAAGTTAACTTCAGCCTCTTCTATTTTAAGATTGGGAAGGCTAGACTTGAAATGTTCCCAACATTCAGCAGTCTCTGGGTCACATATTAAATACTTTAAACTCTCAAGTTTTGTGACTGACATTGGCAATGTTGTAAAACCAGTCATGTGAAGCTCTTTTAGATTATGCAAGTATCCAAATTCTTCTGGTAAAGTGTGAAGGCTTGCACAACCTGATATATCAAGAAAATGCAGCTCATGAAGATTTCCAATTGAAGCTGGTATCTCCCTCAACTCAGCGCAAGAACTAAGTCTTAATACTTTCAAGTTCTCGAGGTTTCCAATTTCTTGCGGCGGCGCAAGGAAGTTTATGCATCTTGTGATACTGAGCTTCTTGAGGGAAGTAATATAACAAAGCCCAACAGGAAGTGTTACTAAATCTTTGCAATAATCAATACACAACTCTTCGAGGTGTGGGAGAACTTCTGAAACTGAAACAGCGTCACTTTGAAAATCATGTCTTGTTTTGCAATTGTAAAGGGACAACTTTCGCAGACTCTTCAATGCGCAAAGGGAAGGAACTGAAACCTGTTGCAATCTGATTATTCTAAGATTGGGTAGACGACCAAGTATCTCAAAATTGTCTAGTTCAGCAAAGCTGAAACCATTATAATTGGTGATTATCAAAACTTTCAGTTTAGTCATTTTCCTTATGCAATCTGGTAAGATATACTTATCAGTATGAAGATTCATGATCAGAACCTCAACTTGATCAACTTTCACAATATTGCTCCAGTCTGAGGTGAACATTTTGTCTGCAAGAACATTACATATGGTGTCAAAGCTGAAAATAATATGTCATTGTGTATACGTTTTAAAGTGGAACAATTAACTGACCAGTTGATATGGACAACGTGTGAGCAACTGTGTTTTGCGTGTTCTGTTGATCCCAACTATTTTCCTTCATGTGAAAAATCAACCTTTTCCTGTGCTCGTACGGTTCCTGTCTGGCTTGATGGATAGCTATCTCTTTAAGAAGGTCATGCTGGGTAAGAAAATGGTGGTTGTAGTAATTGTCAACGTGACTCGTCACTTCCCTGGTTAATCAACAAATATTTATGCAAACATATTTTCCGTATACTAACATTTTCTGTTTATAGAGATCAACATGATTGTAATATCAATGATTAAAACTGTAAGTAGAATTAAAAGAATGAAAAAAAGTAGCTAATGTACCTTGCAACTACAAGATTAACCAAATGCAGGTTGTCTAAATCATGAACAATGTTCATTCCCTCTATGTTGTCGTGGTCTAGGTTGTTCAGTTCTGTCCACATGTCAATGAGAGCAGCAACAGGTATTTTTTTGTCTTCAAAAAATAATCCAAGGTCCATGAAGCACTCCTTGATTTTGTGATTATCTTCCAGTGCATCCTCCAAAACTTTTTGTAGGCGATTAAGCAAATCATTATTCGAAAAAACAATAGAATGACCTTTGGATAACAAATTCACCATTTTTTTCCACACCGCAATAGGTTGTCCACTGAGTGATCCACCAATCAATTTGAGGGCCAGTGGAGAACCCCAACAACCCTTTGCTATCTGCAATTGAGTGTAAAACTACTGAGAACTAGATCATATTGACAAACATTTATATAAACACGGGACGAGTTTGTCTATATGTTAAGACTAGTCATACAAATATAACAAACCTCTTGAACATATTCTTCATCAGGAACATAAGTTCCTCTTTTCCCATCATTCGGCAGTGCAAAGCGACGGAAAAGGGTAATCGCGTTGACAAGGCTAAGCGGCCTTAAGAATGATGTTTCAAACCGTGGAAACTCAACTCTAGAAGTTATCAAAATTTTACAATCCGGAACTTGAACCTGAAATGCCTCAACAAAGGATTCTGAGCCTGGGCAAACATTATCAAGAACCAACATCATTGGACGACTTTCCCCGATTTTGGTTAGCAAACTTCTCAAGTTTTTGACTGCATCATCCTCGTCTACGAAGCAAGGCTCATCATGTCCACAATGTTGAAACAAATTCCGCATAATGTTCTTCAAATTTGGAGTTTTTGACACAGTGAAGAACAAAATGTTTTTTCCAAATTTACCTAAATATCAAACACAACACTGATAAGTAAACATAAGTAGTAAAAGTGATATGCTTTCATCCGAGAGTTATATACGGTACCTCTAACTTTGTCATCCCAACATAGCAACGAAGCTAACGTGGTTTTCCCAGAACCAGCCAAGCCGGTTAACACGCGTACAGACCCATCGTTACTGAGCAGCCAATTCTTCAACTGATTAAAAGGAAAATCCAACCCAACAGTGAAATAAGGTTTTAGAGGAGGATCACAAGACCTGTTAAATTGTCTCCCCTTCATATCTGTAACTATGGACAGTGTCTCTTTAACATCTCTTGCCGTAGTAATCGGGATAACAAGACTAGTGTATCTAGCAATTTTCTCTTCCTTATCATGAAGCTCTCCTTGATAACAAGGTAAACAACAACATTTCCACCAAGGGACGTTAGAGAGTTTTTTAACTGATTCTTTCCCTTGTTCAATTTCTTGTATTAGCCTCTCTGTCTCTTCTGTTGGACGATCCAATTTCTCGTCCAACAGTTTCATTTGTTCGGCTGCTGTCGTGATGCGATGCACATCAGAGGCGAGGTTTTTTCGTGTTTTTCTGAAATTCCAAGCTTTGGATATCTGGTTTGTGATTGGCTTTGTAAATTCTTGAAACACTGCTCCAAGAACAGCTCCTTCAACCAACCCTCCTGCCATCAATCAACACTTGTTGATGAAGAAACTCCAGAAATGTGAGCAAGTTGCTTTCAATAAACTAACGAGTGTTCAACTAGTTATATCTATGAATGATGCAAATTTTATTTTCTTTCTACAAATATATAAAGAAATATACTTAAGTGTTAAGAAAAAAAAAAAGAAAAACAAGTGTGAAAGGTTAAAAGATAGTCAAGTGAACAAGTGTTGTGAACTTTAAGATATTTTTGTCCGCGTGCTGTTCAATTGAAAGTTATGTTACTCAAGTCATTGGACTAATGTGTGAAAGTAGTCATTGCTGGGAAGGTTCCAATTTGAAACAAATTCATGGATTCTGTTTGAGTGAATATGTACAGAATTTGGTGGGTGGAACTATATAAATTTAATTAAAGTATTAATCATAACCGTTACTTGGTAGTTGTGAGTTGGAATTATTTTTTATTCCATCCTTCCGAGAATATAAAAAAGAATTGTTATGCAATTAGAAAATGCTCATGGTCAGTTCATTCATATAACCAATTGAGAGGCAACTTATAACAATTTATTATAATTTAATATTATAATCAATTTGTTTCGGACTGTCTCAAGGTTTATGACAAAGGTTTAAGAGCAAACTTTAAATAGAAAGGCGCACAAAGTAGGTAGACTTTCACGTTGATCAGAAGCAGACAATTCTATCTTGTAGTGCATCAATCACCGTTAAATCTAATTGCATGGTTGTCCACACAGCACGTCGTATCACACGTGAGCACTTTTAATCACACTTGATATATTGGGAGAAAATTTGTTATTTCAAGTGATCTCACCTGATTAGAAAGAATCAATGGTCTGCCACGCGTCGTTGGATTTCTTTTTCACCGGAGTTGTAGAGAGAAAGAGGGTGTACCTGCAAGGCACTATGATGCTTAAGCGAGTAAAAGATCAGAGAGAAAGCAAACACATAGGTTAGGTGTGGAGAAGAAGTTATCTGACCCTCTAGTGAAAAAGGGTATTTATAGTGTGTCCAGCGCAGGGCCAACAGTTATTTTGTATTGGGTCAGACTGTCAGGCCCAACCCAAGTAACTGTCACGGCTTACGTGGCGTAGTGAATACTAGCACGTGGTTTTCGCCCTAGATCAACTGCTCTAGTGTAATTTCTTCTTGGTCTTTCTTCGTTTACAGCGGATATCTTGCCACTTCTTAATAACATATAACGAAGTTTTATAAAAGACAGATTAAAACTGTAGTTTTGCGAACTTTTGCAAAAACTTACAACACTTTTAGCATTGTCCCACTGGCATGCCATTTTGTTTCCCGTGAAAATTAGAAAACAACCGTTGATCTTCGAAATCTAACTTTGGTGACTCACAAGATCAATCAGATTGATCCTAGGACATGTGCTAAAATTTGTATGTGAACTTAATTTATCTAAACTACACACTTCGACAATGTTTTGAGAAAGAGACTTGATTTAAAGGTAACGTTCGACTTAAGTAAAAGGATGGAGATTTGCAGAAAACAAAGTAAAGAACTTTGAAAAGTATTTAACAAAGTAAAGCAAAATGCTTGGAAGATGTAGAATGCAAGAAAAGTAAAGAAAAGTTCTTTAATATTAAGCAAGTAAATTAAACTTCATTGAAAGTAAAGATGGTGTGTTTACATAACGTACATTGTCCTTGAACTCGTTTCTCTACACTCGGGTACTTTGAGTAAATTTGGGAGTAACTTGTACAAATAGTAAATTACAACATACCGAATCCTATGTCTATAACTCTTATTTATAATAATAAAAGTAACTACCAATAACCTTCTAAAACCATCAGCTTCTGACAAGTGTCATAGTGCATGTAGTCACTTGCTAGACGAACGTCACTTAACGCCACTTAGCCTGCTTAGTCATGAGAAAACATAACCACTCCCCCACTATTTGAATTTCAAAACTTCACTAATATTCAGCCAACATCTCGGTCGAAGGTAGTTTCCTCAATGGTTTGGAAATTTCTCTAAGTCCTAAAATGCTTGAATAACCTATCCTGCTCGAAGGTATCCACACTCGAAATCTTTTACTTTCTTTAAAGATCTTAATATTTTATTCAAATATTTAATCTAAATATGATGCGTCGAATTTGTGAGCTAACAAATTGCCCCCCAAAAATATCTTTTTCGACCATACTACAGAAAAAGGACCATTTTTTGACAGCATCCAATTCGATGCCATCTTTCAACCTCCACGTAGGTATCAATACAACTGACTACCCATGACTTGGAGAAAGAGAGAGAGAGGGAAAAAAACTGTTTAGCTAACTCTACGCATGTCCACGACGTCATGGGCCATTATGACCAATTTTTTAGAACTCTCACAAAATCTTCAGACCATCAACATTCTTTTAGGACCTAAGAAAATCATAGGTCTAGGCAGTAACTGCCACCGCCCCCATCTCCCATCTTGGAACGCCGCGTGGCCCACTATTTCTAGCCCTTAATGATGAATAGTGGCTTTTGATTTACTTCAAAATGCCTTATAAATATTTTCCCATAAATCATTTTAAAATTTTCACTCTTTAGCAAATACTTACACACTTTTTCCAAACAATTTCCAACTTTCTTCAAAAACCCATTTCTTCCCTAATTTTGATTAATGGCGTCTTCCATGGCTACAACCAAAGACCAAAAGAGAAAACCTCAAGCCAAAGGGCTATCAGCTGCGCCACTCCTCCCTCTTTTCACCATACTGAGTGGACCCAAGATGGTGAAGAACCAACAGTTCATCCCTGAACCTCTAATAGAAGACAAAATGCACATTCATAAATCTCAGTAATGATTCATATCATCGTTGCAGGTAAATCTTTGGCTCTGTCTGGCCCACTATCTCCATTAGGAACCAACTATTCAACCCTTAGTGATTTTTTCCCTTCTTATTGCAAAACAAAACCTCTAGGGAAAAAAGATTCTAGCAAAGTCCCTACTGAAGGTCCGGATAGCTTGGCATTACATGATTTAGACCTTAAGTACCTCAATGACAGATCCAGGTTATTCAGAGCCACCCCCTATTTTAAGGATTCCAATTTTTACCTGAATTGGCTGACCAAAGTGGAAAAGGTCAAAGCAAATGACTGGAAGGAAACTGGTATCTATGATTTAATCATGATGTCGAAGGCCAGTCCAACCTATTGTCCTCTCATGCTGGCATCCTCACTGTATTTATGGGATAACACCCACTACACTTTCCAACTTCCTTGTGGGATAATGACACACACCCTCTTCGACCTAGCCGCTATCACAGGACGAAAGCCTTATGGGCTAGTATATGATCCTGAAGTGGATTGCCAGGATTCTATAGGATTTTCCACCACCAAACATACCTATACCCATTTTATTAACCATTACCACAATAAACAAACAACAATAGTCGATGATCAAGAACATATAGCCTTTCTAGCCATGTGGTTGTCACGTTGTGTCTTTTGTACAAAATCTTTGCAGGTGGCGAGGAAGTACCTTACATTGGCCAATCAGCTACACTTGAATCGAGGCATCTGCCTAAGTGAGATGATCTTGGCCAGTTTATATGAATCCTTAAGTGAAGGTGCTGGTAGACTCAAAAACAAAGAAATCCACGGGAGCTTGTTACTATCAGGGCCCTTCTGGTTGCTCCAATTGTGGCTCAACGCTACATTCGAAACCAGCCTTCCTAATAAAGGAGAAGTTGACGAAGAAGACTCTGCAATCACAGGAAGATGAGTCGAATGGACTCGATTGGTCAAACTTTCCCCCAGCGAAGAAGGTCATACACTCAGAGTGAATCTCTCTGATTTCATTAAAATGTTCGTCAAATGCCATGAGTTCACCCCAAGGATGGCTCCCTTTGCAGAGAGAAAATATGGTCCTGAATGGTTTACCAGACCTTTTCCTCCTGCATTTAAAAAGCATGAAGAAGAACCGAAGCTTGTATGGGAAATTTTCTTAATACCTCGATTAATAGTCCATAAACTCAACCTCTTAAGAGGTCAAGCAACTCTGGTGGCCTATCAGCCAAACCTTGTGTCCCGACAATTTGGTTTAATCCAAATGTTGCCTAAATGTTTGTATGACAAGAAAGCCCACGTTATCCTTCCCAACACCGTCTTCAACACACTTGAGAGTTCGACACACCTAGCTCGACATGCTCACAAGTCCCTTTTGACACCAATTTACTTTGAACCCTCTTACCTTTGCTCCCAATAATTCTATAATTGGTGGTCCAGGCACTACGCTTCAGAATTTCTTGACGTTTCAAGCTTTGTTCGCTTGATTGACCAAGCTTTCGTTGATGTGTAGGAGAAGATCAAGAAAGGTACTTGCACTCACATCAAGGAGATTTAATCCTTCCAGAAGTACTTTGAAACCACTTATCAACCAGATGATGTTAGTCGGACCATCCGTGAGGCTGCTGTCATGCTGAAGGAAAAGTTTTCAAAGAAAATGGAGAATTTAAAAATCCCTTCATACGTTCCTCGTGAGAAACGTTATGAGGTAGCTTTCGCCTTATTCCCCTCGAAGATTCCTCGATTGCCAACTGTTGACTTTGGAGTGGCTCTTTCCTCTTCATTTCCAGATTAGTTTATCTGTGGGGATTTTATAAAAATCCTTTGACAACAGTCGAAACCGAAAGCCCAGCGGGTGGTTCCAACTAAACACATGCTCGATAGTTTTAAAGGGAACCTTCATATTGGTATTGAAGATGTTTGCATCGAATCTAAAATCCTTGAAGGTTGTCACCCTTCGATTTTGGACTCTTTTAACTGAAATTTATTGTTACTAACTGGTAGCAACGTGGTTTGTTTTGCAGCTGCCCCTAAAAGGAGTGACCCCTGCCAAGAGCTGAGGCAAAGGCCGAAGGTCATAAGGTAACTTACATGCCTTTGTTGTTTTGATTCTTCTCTTTCTTCGTTGTTTTTAGTATTCTGTAATGCCTTAGGTGTCTCGCAAGCCACCCTCAACACCCCTAAAAAATCTTAAAAGAGCTTCTTCTCAGATTATCATT